GTGAGTTTCATCTTCGAATGATAAATTAGAAAATTATTGTAGTGGTTGGAGACGAACTGAGAAGGAATGAAGAGATTTGAGAGATCATGCATACAAACCACAAAGGTTAATGAGCTAAAATGTGAACATTCAAAACTTGAATTAACAAAGGGGAAATTCAGTTTCGTGTGCTGAACCAACACCCCTTCTCATGGGAATATTCTCCTGAAGCAATGTCTCAATCTATCTCTTCTTTCTGAATTATAGTCTCACTAACCTCACCTCACTGGTTGGCAATCTCACCAATCTATTCCTGAACTCCATTTCTCTGACCTTCCCTCCTAGCCTAGATAGAAACTGCTGAACCTAATCTTTCAAATATAGAATCTCCTTACCCTGCCCCCTCCAGGCCCTAATCCTAGGCTGAAATTTATCAGAATGCTAAGCGTCCTTGTGCTGGGATCAAATATTGATGCTGAACTACTTATGTGAATGATGGCACTAAAGAGGAGATTTTACTTACCTTTATGTTGGCCAATTCAGCGACTGCTGACAGGGTTTCATGTCTAATTAAGGACAGTGGTCTTGACTTTGTCTGCTGCCAGCCTAATCAGAGGACTGACAGCTCTTCATCCCCAGCAGAGTAACTCTGATCGAGTTGGCCATTGCTAAGGTTGGAAGGGGAGGAAACACTGCCCTTGTTGAAGACTTGATGGACCAGAGGAATTTATTTTAATGCCTAGATCCAGGAAGGCAGGCACCATCAGAGGACTGAGCCCTCCAACCTGGAGGGTGGCCCCTCTGTTGACCAATGAGCAGCCAGAAAGGAAGCACACCTAGGGAAGTTGCTGGAAGGCTGCCTCAGTAAAGCCAGTGGGCTCTTCACATTAATGGGTGGGATGGCATGCTAACACCAGTTTTGATGGCAGGTCATAAAATAGCTGTCAATGCAAACATATGAATCAGGAAGGGTAGGCTTCTTGGATCTTACCCAAGTCCCAAACTTCAATCCGCCTTTCCAAGTTCCAATGTCATCAACAAGATGTCACCCAGATTCTTAAATACTCTAGTCCACCACTAGAGTCACAATTACTTGAGTCAACTTGGCTTGCCTTCTGGATTCTGAATGCCCATGTTTTGGTATTATTGGTTGAGGTTTAAAATGTTGTCTTGAATATCTGGAGAATTCCCTTTTCATGTTTTGAATAATGCTTTGGACTCTTATGTTCAGCTCAGCACCAGGCCTCCAATTTAATGACTCATTCCGAGGATAGCGCTTTTATGAATACAGCATACAATACTATACTGAAGTGTCAACTGAGATTACATGTATAAATCATTTGTGGGGCTTTGACATTTGTATTACACAGGGTATTTCAAGTAGAGAAGCAAGTCAATAATTAATGCCAACACTTTTGTTTCCAGCCTTCAGACATCAACATATAAAAGATAATTAAGAAATATGTATTCTGCTTTGGGAGTACAAAGTTTATATTCTTATCAGGAAGTTGATGCACTTTAGTATCACTATTCACTTGTTTGCATCAAAAAAACCTAGCTAATCTTGACCAAGATATATTTGGGTTTAAAAGTTCAAGGTATTTTTTAGGAAAGTTTCCACTCACCCCTCTAATTGGCCAACCAAGCAAATGTTCTGGAGAGTAGTTGAGTTCAGAATGAGCCTAATTCAAGTTACTTATACTGCTCTGCAAGGTGTAGAATTTTTTCACACTTTAAGCACTTTATCCTGACTTAATGCATCCTCATTTGGAATGCAGTTTTCAAGCTGTACTTCCGAGGATAATTGTTATTCAAACATTTATGCACCACTACCTTTCTACAGATACCTAGATGGTTTTAAGTTTTCAAACCATAACCCAAAAATAAATACAACAACAAATTGTTTTTTCTGTTTATGAGGTGGCAGCGCTGGCAAGGCCAGTATTTATTGCTTACTGCTGCTTGCTCTCGAGACTTGTATTGAGCCATCTCTTAAACTGCTGCAATCCAGATGGTATAGACACATCCACAGTGCCAGGATTTTGACCCAAGGATGGCAACAGGACAGTAATGTATTTCCAAGTCGGGATGGTGTGTGACCTGGGCAGGAACTTTGAAATGTAGCTTTTAAAAGGTACAATCAGTTCTGAAGAGGGGTCACTGGGCCCAAAATGTTTAATCTGCTTTTTCTCCACAGATGCTGCTGGACCTGCTGAGTTTTCCAACAATTTCTGTTTTTGTCTCAGATTTCCAGCATCTTCAGTTGTTTTTTGTTTAACATGTAGTTGGTGTGTATTGTAACCCTCCAAAATATCTTGTATTTCTAACTCTCTGACTTCTTGTACTGTCACCATTCACTTCACTCCACACGCAATGGCTATACTTTCGGCCATTTAGGTCCTAAGCTGTGGAATTCCCTCCTAAGCCCCTCTGTTTCTTCTAAATGTTGCCTTTTAAATGTTGTTATTGTACCAGCCTCCTCCACTTCCTCTGGCAGCTCATTCCATAAACACACCACCTTCTGTGAAAAAATTTCCCTTTTAAATCTTTCCCCTCTCAAATTAAACCTATGCCCTCTAGGTTTGGACGCCCCGCCCCAGAGAAAAGATCTTAACTATTCACCCTTTCCTTATGACCTTATAAACCTCTATAAGGTCACCCCCCCAACCCTCCAACACTCTAGGGAAAATAGCCCCAGCCTATTCAGCCATTCCCTGTAGCTGAAACCCTCCAACCCTGGCAACATCCTAACATCCTTGTAAATATTTTCTGAACCCTTTTTAGTTTCACAACATCCTTCCTATAGCAGGGAAACCAGAATTGCAGTGTTCCAAAAGTGGCCTAACCAATGTCCTGTACAACCACAGCATGACCTCTCAACTCCTATACTCAATGCACTGTCCAATAAAGGCAAGCATACCAAATGCCTTCTTCACTTCTCTGTCCACCTGGGTCTCCACTTTCAAGGAACTATGAATCTGCACTCCGAGGTCTCTTTGTTCTGCAATACTCCCCAGGACCTTACCATTAAGTGTATAAGATCTGCGCTGATTTGCCTTTCCAAAATGCACTTCCTTACGTTTATCTAACTTAAACTCGATCTGTCACTCCTTAGTCCATTGGCCCATCTGATCAAGATCTTCTTTAAATGCAATTTTTTTAAACTGGTTTTCACTGACCAGCTTTAATATGTCTTGCCTTGACAAGGTATCTATGTTTATATGACTTGAAGTCTTTTGGGAATTTTTTTTGTAGTTAAGTGCATTATATAAATACATGTTGTTATTGTTGTCACGTTAATGCTGTCAGTATAACTGTGCTTGGAATCCAGATGATGGCATGGAAAGGTGGGACTATCATGCTATAAATATTGCCTTAAGTATTTTCAGGTTGAATATAGAAATTTTAGAGGCAAAGAGTGAGTGCAAGAAGAGAGGGACCTCTAACTTAAAAGGAAATCCACAAATTGTCAATAGGCATGTCTTGGGCAGCAAGAAGAGGGGCAGAGTTGTTTAGAGATCAAGGAAGAGAATTACATTTGGAGGCAGCGAGGATGGCTGAGGTACTAAGAAAGTACTTGCATCTGCCTTCATCAAAGAAGAAGGTGCTGCCAAAGTCACAATACCTTGTATTGAGTTTAAATTGACAAAAAGGGGTATAGAAAATGTGACAGTACTGGTAATTTATCACAAAAAAAATTGTGAAGTGATGCATTTTGGTGGGATGAATGTAGAGAGGCTATATAAATTAAAGGGCACATTATTAAAGGGGCTGTGGGATCAGAGAGACCTGAAGATACGTGCACACATTATGTTGAGCAGGGCAGTTAAAAAAAGAGATCTAAAAGACATTTTAGATTCTGTGCATTACAAGTAGGAGCATGGAAACAGATTTCTGTCTTTAATGGATGTGGAAATAGATCCAGAAAGGTGAAATGTTGAAGTTTCATTATGGTAAAAATTGATTTTTCTCTCTTTCCAACATTGCACTGTTTTTGTGGCTTTGAGGCAGGTCTGAAAGGCCTTGGGTTGTGACCCCATGTGTATCTGTTATGAAGCCAGGGTTATCGTCGTTAGGCCCCTAGGAAATATCAGCGTGATCCTGCTAATACAACTTTTTGTAAAAGTTGTGTGCTGATACAACTTTTGAAAGCCCAACAAAACCTACGAAGTTGGAGAATTTTTGGCCACACAGGAACAGCAACTGCAACTTAAAAAGGGTATCATCTTTGCTTTTTTTTTAAGTTTCAGTTTATATTTTCCAGAATCTGTTGTTACAATTGAGCACATTGAGTGCTTAACTCAATTTCAAAAGTTTAAGGACCTTCGCTCCAATCATCTCAACAGGGAGTTAGATCCACCTTTTGATTGACAGTTCTAAGAGTCTTTTAAAGGCTTACCTATCTCTGATGTGATAAATTGTTTCGTGTTTCTTTTACAACAAATTGACCTCTTAAAGGGATTTATAATTTAAATGGCTTTTATGAATAAGACTTGTTTTCTATATGACATAGTTTTGAATGGCTGCTTGTATTAATTTGTTGGATGTTTGTTTTTAATAACTATTTCAAAGATATCCTGATAGCTGCCAATAGTGGACACTGAGTTTTTCATGGATGAACTGATGCAGGGTTGGTGTTGAGTAATGTTGTGGAGGTGGAAGTAAGCTGTCTTGGTTTGGGACAGATATATGATTGGAAATGCTTATCTCAGTATCAGTTAGAGTACCAAACAGTCTGATTCAGCTCAAATAGTTGTCACGAAGAAGGATGACGTTGGTAGCTCTGGAATGATATTTGTGGTAGGAACCAGAGAAAGGCTTCAGTCTTTCTGGGATTTAGGTGGAAGATAATTCTACTCATCCAGTACCAGGTATCAAATATAAGTAGTGTGACAAATATAAGTCAATAGAAGAGTCAAATGCGGTATGTGTTAGAGCTGTGTGTTACTAGCATACATCTAAATTCTGATGCTGTGTTTGCAGATGTTGCCCACAAGGGTCAGAATGTTGATGCCAGCAGGAAACAGATTAAGGATAGATCCTTGGGATCTCCAGAGGTCACTGTCCTGGGACCATTTGAAGATGACTTTCTGGCTATAACTCTAGATAAGTATGGAACTATGCTATGACTGTACCATCCAACTGGAAGATAGAGAATGATGCTGAAGGAAGATGACATGGCCAACTGTGTCAAATAGGTCAACAGGATGAGGAAGGACAGTTTACCATTGTTGCAGTCTCATAGAATCTCAATTGTTACTTTAAACAATCATGTTTCTTTACTGCGGTGTACTGGAAACATGATTGGAGTTATTCACTATTGAGTTATGGAAACGATGGCCGTAGATTTATGAGATGACTACATATTCAAGAACCTTCAAGAATTGTAACCTGTTTCTGGAGAATTGTCTCCTTACAAAGAAGAAAAATAGAAAAACATCTTGACTTGTTTCGTCAGTTCACTAAGCAACAAAGTTTCCTTTAAGCTGTATAGATATTCTACATGTGATACAGCAGGAGACAAACAGGCCACACTTAAGAGGTTCCTTTAAGGCATGTGGGGCTGTGCATCAACCATAAAGCGACTTTACGTCGTAGAGAAATTAAGGAATGCATTGGTACGCATGTATTTAGGTGACCTTGTAACTGCACATTATCACTTCCAATATTATTGCTTAAACAGAATCAGAGCTGGATAATATCATAGAGTCATAGACCACGGAAACAGACTCTTCGGTCCAACTAGTCCATGTTGACCATAACCCAGACTTAACTAATTCCACTCGTCTGCCCTTGGTCCATACTCCTCTAAACATTTCCAATTCATGTACTTATCCCAATGCATCCACCACTTCGTCTGGAGGCTCATTTCACAGACAAACCACTTTCTGTGTTTTAAAAAAAATCCCCTCATGTCCTTTTTAAATCTTTCTGCTGTCACTTTAAAAATATGCTCCCAGATTTGAAATCCCCCATCCTAATGAAAAGACACCCATCATTCACCTTATCTATACCCATCGTTATTTTATAAACCTCTAAGTCACCTCTCAACCTCCTATGCTCCAGCGAAAAATGTCTCAGCTTATCTAACCTCTCCTTAGAACTCAAACCTTCTATACCAGGCAATATCCTGGTATATCTTTTCTGAACCCTCTCTAGCTTAATAATGTCCTTCCTATAACAGGTTGATCAGAACTGCACACAGTACTCCAGAAGAAGCCTCACCAACATCCTGTATAACCTCAACATAATGTCCCAATTCCTATAATCAAAGGTCTGAGCAATCCAGCTGCTTCAAGGAAGTCTCCAAGGAAGCATTTTTATACTGAAGTTTTAAACCTTTTCTTCAGGTGCTGATCGAGACGTGGGCCTAACCACTGATTGTTTGATTTAATTAATGAGATTGACAACTTGATAAGAAGGGTAAAATGTGGAAAAAACGAGTAACACAAGTTCAAGGCAGTGTAAAATCAGCAAAAACATGCAAGTGAGGAAGAGCATGGAAACAAGTGAATACATGCAATCATATGTATTGTTATCTATTATTTAAGCTGTGTTAATGCAGTATATTCTCTGAACTCTGATGTGTTGGTGCTGTACATTCTCTGAATTCTGTAGCTTATCTAATTATAACTAAACCTAATTATAACTAAACCAAATTATACATTCGAGGAAAGTAGTGGATGAGTATTGTCTTCCTTTTTATTGTGGAGACTGTTGTTTTATCTCTTTGTAAACTGAGACAAACAAAACTAAAGGTAGACATGAAAGTTGAACACTGATCTTTAATGGAGGCTTCTTCCTACTGCTGCCAACAATGTTGCTCACTGTGCAGACTAACTAAGATGTGTACTGCTCAAATGACATTGTATCTATTCCTGTCCTGGTGCCGATTCATGGCTGCTATGGCTGAGGCAAGTTTGGGTTCCTGGCAGCTTCTGCGTCCGCATCCAACGCGGGCCAGTGTGGTACCCGACGGAATTGGAGGCAAGGTCCAGTGAGGTCTCATAGTGGCAAGGGCATCAGTGGAGATGAGATGGTGCTGTAGTGTGGCAACTTTTGTTCCGGTGGTGGTGGCACAGCAAGGGGGATTCATGCCTTGCCACAACGCCATGGTCCACGGTGGAGCCGTGTAAAGTTGAGCACTTTTTTTCTTGTTTTCTTCCCCACTTTTCCGCCGTCATATTTTATGTTTTGGTTTATTTTTGTGTGTTTTAAGATGGTGCCAGAGAATGGTGACACTATACAATAGTTTTTACAAAATAGACATGACAATATATAAATAAATCAAACTTCATTCATCAATAAGCACATTATCACAATAGTGAGAATAGCATTTTACTTTATTTGCACTAGTGTTGTCACAAAGCATTGCCTAGATTATGACTAACGCCAGTACTATTTCTATCCTTTTCTTCTCTCAGCAACTTAAGATGTGAACTGTGTGAGTGACTGTGTGCTGCCAGACATTAAAATACTTTCTAAAAAAAAAATTCCACCTTATCCAATTTCTCTGTCCTCTTCAACGTAACATTGGCAGCAATCTTTAGAAAAGTTAGATACAAGGTATATTAACTTTAGGTAATATCTTGCCTCTCAATCACCACAAGAGTTTTCCTTTTTGGTCCTTAATTGACCCTACCCTTCCTTTGACCATCTTTTTACTTATATATATGTTTGTAAATCACTTCAGTATTCTGCTTTATGAAATCTGATAATCTCTTTTTAGATATTCTCTTTGTTTTATTTTTGTTTACTTTATTTTCTATTCACCTTTGCACTTTTCGATTTCTCCCTGAATCTCACATTTGATGTTTATCTTCACTGTCGTTTTTCTCCTTTATTTTAATTCCAGTGTCTTTACTTATTTAGGGAATTCTAGCTTTGGGTTTCTTTTCTTATCCCATCATAAGGATGTTTTTGCTTTATATCAAACTATCTACCCTTGGAATATCTCCCCATGAGAAAACAGCACAGTGGCTTAGTGGTTAGCACTGCTGCCTCACAGTCCCAAAGACCTGGGTTCAGTTCCAGCCTTGGGTGACTATTTGTGGAGTTTGCACATTCTCCCTGTGTCTGCGTGGGTTTCCTCTAGGTGCTCCAGTTTCCTCCCACAGTCCAAAGATATGCAGGTGAGGTGGACTGGCCATGCTAAATTGCCCATAGTGTCCAAAGATGTGTAAATTGGGTGGATTACCATGGGAAATGCAGAGTTGTAGGGTAAGGGGTTGAGTCTGGGTGGGATGCTGTTCGGAGAGTCAGTGTGGACTTGTTGGGCCAAATGGCCTGTTTCCACACTATATGGATTCTATGATCTTCTATGAACTAATATTTGAGTAGCCTGTTATAGCCACAAGATTCTTAAAGCCCTTTACAATGAATGGAATGATTTCGTTTTTATGTAGGAAAATACAGCTGCCACTTGAAACACAGAAAATTGGAAGAATTTCCCAGTTCTTTGGTGTATTGGGATCTGTAATGTCCAATGTAGAACAAAACTCTCATGTAATATCGCTTTTGGACCCTCCTCCAAAAACTACAGTAATCAGTTCTGTACTCAAGTGTTAGCTTGATTATGTCTAAATGCATTGTGGGCTTTGACCCTTAAATTACATTGCTTTGAATGTAGTATAAAATTGAAAGCTGGCTAATAAATAACTTTACCACTTTTTGTTCCAACACTTTAAAAGTTCAGCATGTAGGTGTCAATTAAGTAACATTCTATAGTATAGTACAGTTCTTATCAAAAATAAGAGTTATTGCTTGTTGATTACGACAGAGTCAGCTAATCTTGACAAAGTTCTATTTTAGATTCAGAAGTTCAAGGATTCAAAGGAAAGGTTTCTATGCACCATTTTAATTGGCCAATCAAAGTCCCAGTAGAAAGGGTAATTAAGGACTTTAACCTAATAAATCAGGGGAAAGGCTCAGCATTCATCAATGGAAAGATGTTGTTTTAACAGAAATGTAGTTATATCAGGGAAAGGCATAATTAAGGTCAAGAACTTGAAACGAATCTGGCTTTTGCATTTCAATCAGTAGTCTCCTCCCTAACTGATTAAAGATTCAACTAGAGGCGACTAGTTTTTGGGTTGTTATCCTTCTACTTATAAATTCTGTGTCATATACCCTCTCTTTCACACTACGCCTGAGGAAGGAGATGAGCTCTGAAAGCTTGTGTTTTCAAAAAGACTTGTTGGACTATAACCTGGTAGCGTGTGATTCTTGACCTTGTCCACCCCAGTCCAACACTGCCATCTCCATATCATAAATAACTAAAATAATTAGCAGGAGTGGTGAGTAGTAGAAAGGTTAAGTTACATAATGAGATTAAGATAGTGGAACGCAACAAGTGATAAATCTCTTACCCAAATACATGATTTATATGCTGAAGTATTCAGGATAACGTGATGACCATTATAATGGTACAGCTGTTGGGTGATCGTGATATTAAATTAAATGTTCCACTTTAAAAGATTCTCAGCATTGTGAATGCCTTTGGAAAATAGTTGACATGGGCAAGGCCAGAAATTTTTGCGCATCCCTAATTGACCTTGAAAAGGTGGTGATGAATCTACTTTTTTACCTGCTGCAAGTGATCTGGTGTAAGTCCTGTCACACAGTGCAGTTAAGAATGACTTATAGGATTTTGACAATTAGGGAATGACAGTGTTAGTTCCAAGTCAGGGTAGTACTTGGCTTGGAGAACTACCAGATGGTGGTTTTGCCATATGCCTACCGCCTTTGCTTTTCTAGGTGGTATTGGATTATGTGATTGTGATTTTGGATTATGCTGTTATTGGAGGCTTGATGAATTACTGCAGTGCACATTATGCATGAGTCGCACCGCTGCCTCTGTGTGTCAGTGACTGAGACAGTGAATGTTTAAAGTAGTAGCTGAGATACTGATCAAGCAAGCTATTTTGTCCTGAATGGTGCTGAGTTTATTGGATGTAATTGGAGATGTAATCTTCCAGGAAAGTGGAAGGATATTCCATCACAACAATTTCAATTAAATATTGAATAAAGTAACTAAAAAATTAATTGAAACCCAATAATAATGGCAGGATAATTAATGTCATGGCTGCAACCTGTGAGAGCTCCTGGATGCCGGTGTGATCCAAGGCAGACTCATCTGCAACATGTTTTTGAAGCTTGAGCGGCTTTTAGGAGCATGAGACTGATATATAGCCTCTGAGAGACAAGCGGGAAGGGAAGTTACCTCAAAGTTTTATTCTAGGAGGTAGTGATGCTCTTAGGATAGTGTCTCTGATAGAAGAGAATCCCTACAGTATGGAAGCAGGCCATTTGGCCCATCGCGTCAACATCAACCCTGTGGAGAGCATCCCATCCAGACCCACCCCATCTCTGTAACCCTACATTTCCCATGGCTAATCAACATAACCTACATGTCCCTGGACACTGTGGGTAATTTAGCATGGCCAATCCACCTAACTTGCACACTTATGGACTGTGGGAGGAAACCAGAGCACCCGGAGGAAACCCACGTAGACAGAGGGAAAACATGTAAACTCCACACAGACAGTTGTCCGAGGTCCCTGGTGCTGTGAGGCAGCAGCGCTAACCACTGAGTCACCATGCTGCCCTTTTTGGACAT